GGGCGTGTGTCTTCTCTCTCTCTCTCTCTCTCTCTCTCTCTCTCTCTCTTCCCCATTACTGCTTTTGCAGACATTAAAATAGTTCAGTTTCGGGTTTTAATGGCAAAGTGGTAATATTTCGTTTCGTTCCTTTATTACGTTAATTTAGAAATATGTTTGGAACATTTTATGTTTGTTAAATTCAGGTTTTTATTTTTTAAAGGAACGACCAAGCGGCCAGCGGCTGACAGTGAGTTGAGCATATGTTTGATCAATTTAGCCATATCCAATCGTTTGTGCAGAGAGTGGAAGCTGAAGCGCGCGCCAGCGCGATCACTTGCTTTTTTTTTCTCTTTTTTTTTATAACAGTGGAATCTTAAAAATATACCGTCATTTTTGCTCATAAAGGTAAGAGTATACCTCATTCGGAACTGCAAAGTCTACTTTTATTTGTGTGCACTCACAATATCAACAAAACCTTGTGCTTTTGTAAAATAAGGAATACAAATGCTTTCTGATGCGCTTTCTCTCGTCTCTGTCTTGAGCAGGAGCGCCTCACAATGATGAACTGAAACTTAGCGAATACTTGCCTTACCGACATGATAAATATATCTATACAATGCTTTACATTACTATTTTAAAACGAAATAATTCATATATAATAAAACGAAAACAAAAACTCTTTCATTATGTAATCCGTAAAGATGCATTTCTCTCTAGAGGCATGTCCAATGAGGAGATGGCGAGTCAGGTTAGTCAAATTCATCTTTGCGACACTGACTCAGAAAACACTAGTTTATTAACAAACAATTAAAATATCCCCTCACTATTTTTTACTTTTTACTTTTTATTTTGTTTGTTTGTGTTTTTTTGGGCCGCTGTGCCAAAATTATGTTTGCATTCAGTAGCTACAAATAGCCTACAGCAGCATTTTAGTGCCACGTTGAAAAATAACTAAATAAATAAGATTTAACTTCATAATATTTTAATATAATAAAGTCAAAATGACGATAATAAAATCATGTTATGAAGTTAATGTGAAAATTCCACCTATAGGCTACTTCGCCAAAAAAGAAGAAAAAAAAGTCTGTGGCATCCGTCATTCTTCACATTTAACATTATAAACAGCAATAAAATGCAGACTTATTGACGTTTTTTTAAACTCTGATTGATCGATTTCATGAGACATTCGTTTGTATTAAATTGTTCTGATTTGTTTAATGCATTCAAATATTCATGTTTATTTCGTGCTGCAAATTTTAAAGAGGAAAATATAATTGATTCATATACCGCTTGAACTGAGGCGAATGATCTCACTACAAATTAAAGAGCGTAAAAACACATTTATTGTTTGTATTTTATCATAAAATTAAACTAAGCATTCGTTTTAAATAAGGGAAAATACCTTATATATTTGGGTTACAACACAAGGCTATATCTTATTCATTTTGTTAATAAAAGTTAGATGTTTAATATATGCGAATTTGCCATTGTACTATTTTATGGCTGATGTGTTTTAATTAAGATAATAAATCACAAACTATGATCGTTTTAAGGTAGCCTGAGGGGAAATCCATATTCATTTTGTTTAGAAAAGTTCAGTTTAATATTGGTGAATTTATCATTGTACTAGGCTATTTTATTGTATAGCCTTTTTCTTATTAATAATAATGAGCCATAAGCATTTGTTTAAAGTAAGGGGGAAATCCAAAATCCTTTCATTTATTTGTGTTACAACGTAGGTACATCAGTCTTATTCGTTCTGTTCATAAAAGTTTTGTTTAATATAAGCGACTTTGTCATTGTAGCATTGCTGATGTTGTGTGTGTGTTTTCATTAAGAGTAGGCCTAATATTGAATCAACCTTAAAGCATTCTTTTTTTGTTCAAGAATAGGAAAGACCTAACATTAAAGATCAAAATAAGCGGTACTACGGAAGTGTATTGCATTCACTTGAGGAAAAAAAATCTACTCTGTTTTTCTGAATTAACGAGTTAATTATCTCAGAATTACGAGATAATTTTTCATGAAAACAGTTTTTGCTCTGTTTTTCTGAATTAACGAGTTATCTCAGAATTACGAGATAATTTGTCATGAAAAAAAAATTGTTGCTCTGTTTTTCTGAATTAACGAGTTAATTATC